TTTTCCACGAACTTTTTGAAGGTCCCCCATATATACCTTTACGCCTCTCAAATACAGTCGTGTGTTTGAGGCACTTCCTTATTTCTCATAGTCTGTTCTATTCTTTATTGTATTACTTACTATGTTGTTTTATAGTTGCCTATTTCTTCTTTTCTCTACTAGATGGTAAGTTGCTTGGTGGCAAGGTATCTCAGAATTTACCCCTGAATTTTGTCCATAAGACTAGGTGTTAAGAGTTTAGTTTAACTAACCTATTTAATCCCAACCTTGACACTGATAACTTGATTAGTTATTGGTTCAAAGTCTACACTTTAGAGTCAGACTTAACTGGAATGGAATATGGACATTGTCACTTACTGAATATATGCTATTAGATAAGTTTACTTAATATTTTGGAACATCAGTTTCCTCTTCTGCAATATGGGGATGACACATACATGCCTTTGTATTCCTTTTCAGGAAGATTAAATGAGATGATATCTGGCTTTATATGAATGTTGTTGTTAGTTTGAAAATCAGAAAACTTCCTGCTTCTCCTTGTTTCATGTTTGAGAATAGGTACAATGTTTCAGTAATTCCTCTCAGTTACATTGCCCTTGATCAAACCCTACCAGGACTCCTACACCCTCCTCACCACTGATTTTGGATCACTTGTTGTTCCCTTGTCTCTGGGTTTGTTAATACCACTTCCTTTCCCCCACCTCCTCCTCTCCCATGTCCCCCTGGAACAGTTGTTCCCGTTGTTTTCTCCTTCAGAGTGTTTATCCAGCTAATCTTATCTCAATAGACCTGCAGAGATAATATGCACAAAAACAAGACAGAGAAAAGCAAAGCAACCAGACAAAACAACAACAACAACAAAACAAAACAAAAAAAGAAAAGAAAAGCCTGTAAATATTCCAAGGTCTGTTTGTTGACCTTTGCAAGTGTTTTCTGGTCAAGTCTGATGGGATGCCACACCCTGGCTCCAAAGTCGACTTTTGGTACTCCCTCGAGACTTCCCCTTGCTGTTCTGTTGCATGCCCCTAGTGCTTTGCCTCTGTGTGGTGGGGTCAGATCGGATGCAATTCCCATACTGTGCCTCTTGTGTTGCCCCCGTAGGGCTATGGGTCAGTGAGGGATGGTGTGTCTCACAGTGGGGTCAGCCATATGGTCCTCTCTGCATTGGCTGATCTGAGTGGGGATATCATCCTCAAGGCTTCCTGGGACAGGATGTGCTCCACTCTCTCTTCCTCCCCGTTCATTTGCTCCCATGTGCTCTGATTAGACATGTCCCTGAGCTTTAGCTTCAGTGCTGTCCTCTGAAGTAAATTGTTCCGCGGGGAGGGGTGGCTGCTTACATAGTTGGGATTGGGGTCGACCCCTAAGACTTCTCTACTGTTTCCCTGCTTCATGCTAGTATGTTGCATTCACATCTTGGAGTACCAGGTTGAAGTCTGGTCCCTCTTTCTCTGTGGAGATATAAACAGTACCATTCCCTTGGGTGGGTTAGTGCCCTATTCCCCCGCTACCCATTTTTTTCTTTTCCCCCACCTTTTTAGTTGGCTACCATATGTATCCCTGGATTTGGTCTGGCCCCTGACATACTACCTGGACCTCACCCAGGAATGTTTGTATACAGTAGCTTTTTCCCTATGGCCTTTTTGCATATTTTTTAAGCTTACCTCAGCAGACTCATGTTGTATGTGTCCTTTTGTGCTTGGCTTACTGGGCTTAACATAATTTCCTCCAGTTCTTCCCATGCGCCTATGTGCTTTATGTGTTCATCACTGCTTTTTAGCGATGCATAGTACTCCGTTTTCTGTATGTACCACCATTTTTTAATCCATTTATCTGTTGATAGAAATTTGTGTTGTTTCCATCTCCTTGCAATTGTGAAGTGTGTCATGATGAACATTGGAGCACAGATATCTGGCCATGGTTTGTTTCTTGCCTCTTCTGGGTATATGCCTAGTAGGGGAATTGCTGTGACCTCCTTTATTATGGAACTTGTGACTTTGCTAGCACTGGTTTTGTAGTTGGTATGCTACTAGTTGTTGAGTTAGAAAGTTAAGGCTTATAAGGAAAGAAGACAGGCCAGTGAGTTTTCATATCAGTAATACGTAAGTACTCTCTTTTGTACTTGGTACTTGAATAAAGACTAATATTTATGTTTTGGAGGATAAAATGCTTCTCAAGTGTAGCATGATTGAACACTTCATGCTTGCCTTATAAGAGCTGTTCACTTGGAGTTGAGAGGAGGATAACCTTTCATGCCTTTTTGGATTCTGATGAATGTGCTGAGCATAGTAGCCAAAGAATCATGGGCAGAAATTGAAGGTGACTAACAGGACAGCAATAGGGTAGTGGAAACTCTTGGACTTGGAGTCAGACAGTCATGGGCTTTTTCAGATCCTCACTGTTATTTATTTCTATAATAAAATGAGAAATTATACATACGTTATAAACTAGTCTTGAGGTATTGAAATTACTTACCACAGTGAATACTCATTGTTATTTAACTCTCTTCCTTTTGTCTTCCTTTTCTCTCCCCCCCTTTTTTGCTTCTTTCCTTAATAAGTAAGAAATCATTATAAAATATAGCAGTTGCATTCCTGTGTATGAAAATGTTGTCAGTTGTCACATTTATCTGCAAATTAACCCAAGTTCACTTTAATATTGCTTAAGATTTAAGCACAAGACCTAAAAGAGATAAAAGTTAACTTCTAGTTAGTAAAAACTGTGTTCCATTTATTAAAACTTGGAAGAGTTACTATGGGAGATGCAGAATTATCCTTTCTTGAAGGTTTTAGGATTGGCTTTCTAGTACCTCTTTTTCAGATCCACCTGGAAGGACTCAGACAGAGATATGCTTGGAGAAGAGCATTTAGCCAAATGGTCTCTGAAGTTTCTATTCCAGTTCAAGGAACTGTTTTCTAGTGGCCAATTCTTGAGATGGTAGTCTGAGAAACTTCCACCGTCACTTTGCAGCATTTCTCAATAGAACTTTCTGGTGCAGTTGGTTACTACCTCGTGTTATAGAATGGAGGGGAACGGTCCATGTGATTTGAACTACTAAGAAAGTAGAAATAAAAACCTAAAGAAGATAGGTATGATAGCAGCAATCCAGAACACTCATTTATTTATCATTCCAATGCCCCCTTTTCTGTATGTAATTATACGCCTTCTCACAAAAGAAGATCAGTGATATTTGTGATAGTATCCCCATTTAACAGATTTGTACCAAGGTTCAGAGTGCTAAAGTACATAAAACACAACAAATGGCTACTTATGTCTGATTTGGTCATAGAGGATGAGGTCATTGGTATGGGTTCATACCATTTTATTGATCCAAAAGTATTCTTTTACCACCACCTTAAGTCAGATACTTTAACCTGCCTTTATAGCCTATAAGATTGACTAATGCCAGAGAATTTTTCTGATCTTCCCATACAAATCAAAAAAGCTCTGTCCAAGTTGCATGGGATCGGCAGACATTACTCAGAAAAACATCAGGAAAATTAAGCTTCACATTGACTCTCTAGAACAATGGATAATAATACATGCAGTTTACTCCTGGTGGCCTGTTTCCTGCTCTCCTATTTTTTTTTCTTGCCTGCTGACAATGCACTGCATTTTTGTGTCTTTCTAGTTTGGAAACTGCCAGAGACCATGTTCTGCCCATCGACTATTACTTTCCACCCCAGAAGACCTGTCTGATCTGTGGAGACGAAGCTTCTGGCTGTCACTATGGAGCACTCACTTGTGGAAGCTGCAAAGTCTTCTTTAAGAGAGCCGCTGAAGGTAAAGGGTTTCTCACACTGATTTATCTTCCTTTCCTTTCTCTTTTACCTTCCAAAGAGACATCACCCTTCTAGAATCCAGAAATTTCTCGTCTCAATGACAGGGTCACTTAAGAACCTAAGATCCCAAAGAGCAAGTGTCTGTACTTGCTGGACCTGGCTACAACTGCTGGGATAGCAACGAAGATGGTCCCAGCTGGTACTTGTGGCTCTGTGGGTCTGAGGAATAAAAGAAAAAGTATTGATTTGAAAAGATTTAATTTCCTCCTTCCTTGTGTTGGACTCTGATGCCTTGTGATGGGAAAAAATTGTCCTTATTAGAGAGAATAGGAGTGGAGAAACCCCAACTGAGTCCCCAGTTTGTTCTCTGTGCTATATATGAGATTGTTTCTTAGTAAAGGCTTTCTGGCCTCGGCCCCAGAAAGGAAGTGTTCTTTCTGTTCAGTAGACCATCAGTCTCTGCACCTGCTCCCTCCTGTTGATGCCTCCTTGGGGTCTCTTTGGACTCATAACTTCTATATAGTTAAGGACCCAGAGTGAAGAAGCAATTTTATCTTCCTTTCCAAATCCCTGTCTTCAGTAATTGCTCATTGGCCTAGATATTCAGGCTTTGTATCAGATGTTTGGTTTCTTAGTCTTATTCACCTTAAAACAGTTTCTGTCTTCTAAGTTCCCAGAGGTGTGGACATATATCTTACAGCAGGAACTCTCATTTCTAGATCTCTTACATATATGAGTGCCTCCTTTTTATATCGAATACATCATGAACTGTTACTTCTCAACCTTTCCTAATAGAGTCCCTTATAAGTGAGCACTGGTAACCAGTCGCTTAACCATAGACATTCTGCTCTGGGGTAAGACCTAGTTGCTAAACATCAGTATCAGAATCCACCCCTGTCCTAACTTTCCACAGTGGTGGTATTTCCTACCAAGACAATTTCTTTTCTTCTCATTTGCCTGAAAGAAGTGTGGACTTCCAAATCTGAACGAAACTTTTGCTTATGTAAGTATACTGACCACTTAGATGCCCCTAAAGCAGACAAGTACACATGCAATACTTTTGCCAGAAGTGTACTGACACATATCAGAGCTTGATAGAAGCAACAGAGAATTTTGGCATCCAGTGAATAGTTAGAAAGTGAATACCTCTCAATTGATCTCACCATTGATAGAAATGAAAATGGTGATTGTTGTTTTATCATTTTAGTCAGGTGGCAGGAATGCTAATAAAATAGGAAACTGAAATTTCATTTCCTTTCAGACTCCAAAGCCCCAAGGATGCAGCTAGCATTGGTATTACTGAAAATATGTTGTATACACCACCCATAACCCTGCTGTGTTAGTATGGGTAGACAGAGAAAAAAATCCAGGGAGACTCATATGTGTATAAGAAAGAGCTTTATATACAAGAGCAGTTGAAGATTGAGAAAACATTTCAGCCCAGTGCAGATCAAGTCCATAAATTTGATATTAGTCCATATGTCGGATACCAATCTATAAAGTCCTCTTCAGACTCGTGCAACATATGCAATGACACTGAATGCAGGCTCATCACAGGCCAGTGGGTGGAAAGTCTTGTGGATCCATTGGCAGTGTAAGCATCTCAGTGCTGGCAGGGTCTCTACATGGCTCCTCCTGCTCAGGGCACTAGCGGAGTTCCATGAGTCTTGTCAGCTGCAATGTCTCCCAGGGAGTCAGCAGAGAGAGAGTGTGTCTCCCACCTCCAACGAGGATTACAGGAGTTCCCAGAATCCTCAGGATAATGCCATGTCCACACAGAGGCCTCATTCACTATGACCTTATTGACAGGGTAGACTCCACCCCTTCATTCTTAATCCTCTTAAATTGACAAACGATTATATGACTACCATACCTCCCACCACACAAGAAGTCCATTACCCCTGCTTGTGCTAGGCAAGTATAAGGTCCAGGATCTAGTGCCAAGGATTTGGCACTTTGGAAAGAGGAAATAGTGCCCTTTCCCTTAAAGTACTTAAAGGAAGATGGTTAATATAAAAAAAAAACAATAAGCAGTTCTGGGAATTTCAGATCACCTTGACTTCCTAAGTGAGAACTTACCTCTTTCCCATGCTCGTCATCCAGTAAGTATGCTCTATAGAGCAGAGACTGCTACAGAGTATCAATCTAGTGCAGTGGTTCTCAACCTTCCTAATGCCACAACCCTTTAATACAGTTCCTCATGTTGTGGTGACCCCCCAAGCATAAAATTATTTTCATTGATACTTCATAACTGTAATTTTGCTACTGTTATGAATCAGGCGACCCCTGTGAAAGGGTCGTTTGACCCCCAAAGGTTGAAAAACACTGATCTAGTGTGTTAGCAAGCATGGGAATTAAATAGGAAAGGTGCTCAAATGAACAAGTTAATTTAATACATAGATTATAACATAATTGATGCTGCGTCTGGGTTAGTAGACCTGAGTGAAAAATTGGTGTTTTAGGTAAACAGAGGAAGTTATAAACTATTGCCAAAAAAAAGATTTTTCTGCAATATCATACATTCTACATGGGTGATTTCTAAAGAAGTTAAGACTGAAGGAAGGAAGCAGGAAAATGGACAGCTGGAAAGACTTCCTGGGAGGAGTTCTGCTGTAAGGCCTCAGTCCTGAGCTATTTAAGAACAGGGAAGAGAGAAGATTGTGGAGAGTGCAAGATCACTTACCTTACAGAACACATAGAAATCCATCAAAGTTCTAAAATGTCACAGAATTCAAGAGGCACTTAAGTTAGGGAAACTCAGTAATATTTTCTTTGAGAAAACGAGACTCTGAGCTCATGAGGCCAAATGTTCTATACTGCTAGAAGTATGAAAAAAATCACCAATGGATCCCTTGGAAAGTTGTGGAGAGGGATCTCTGAGACCTTTGTTTCCATTCTAATTTGAACATTTGGTTCAGATCAGCAGCCTTTTGAGGTGCAGGAGAAGATGGTTTAAGAAAACAAAACAAAATTGGTGTTTTCTTGCCATTTTCTTGCCATTATTATTGCCATTATCCCTGTTTGAAGGCAAAGAGATGTCTTATTACCTGCAGGGAACATTTATTGATTTGCTTTCTTTTTCCTTTTTTTCCCAATTAAATTAAATCTTGATCTTATGTTTAGCTTTTTATTGTGAATTATATGGGGTTTTACATTTCAGACCATAATTTCTATCTTCAACAGTTGAAAAAAGGAATCAAACCTCCCAATCGCCTCATATGCATGTGAAAGCTGGACACTGAATAAGGAAGACCAAAAAAGAATCGATGAATTTGAATTATGGTGCTGGCAAAGACTATTGAAAAGTACCATGGATTGCCAAAAGAACAAACAAATCTTTCTTGGAAGAAGTACAGTCAGAGTGCTCCTTAGAGGCAAGGATGGCGAGACATAGTCTCACATATTTTTGATATGTTGTCAGGAGAGACTAGTCTCTGGAGAAGGACAATATGCTTGGTAAATTAAAGGGGCAGCAAAAATGAGGTAGGCCTTGAGAAAATGAATTGATATCATGGCTGCAACAATGAGCTGAAACGCACGAACAATTGTGAGGATGGTGCTGGCCCAGGCAGTGTTTCCATTTGCTGTACTTAGGGTCTCTATGAATGGGATCAGACTTGAGGGTACCTAAAAATAACAATAGCTTACCCTGTCTTCCCCCCTGATTAAAAAAAACAACTTCTCTCTCTCTTGTAGAATGTAATCTTCCCTTTTAGACATGTGTGCCCTCTAGCCTATTGCTTTTCTTGTCTTTCCTTACCTTCCCACCCCTGGTAACCATCAAGGCCTATTTCTTTTGGTATGAATAACAGTTATAGTTTTTTTTTCTTTTATAACAATGGTCTCATACAATATTTGCCCTTTTGTGATTCACTAACTCCACTCAGAATAATCTCCTCCAAATCCATCCACGTCATGGGATTTTTCATTGTTTTATCATTATTCTTTAATGATGTGTAGTATTCCATTGTATGTATTATACCAAATGCTATTTATCCTTTCCTCCACTGGTGGGCATATAGGTTTTTTCCATGTTCTTGCTATTGTGAAAAGTTGTGTGATGAACATGGAAATGTATATACCTATTTGTGCTACAGCTTTTACTTCTTTAGCGTACATACCAAGTAAATGGATTGCTGGGTCATATGGTATTTCTATTCCAAGTTGTTTGTGGGAGCACCTAACTGCTTTCCATAGTATTTACAGTCCCACCAGCACTATATTAGGGTTCCAGTCTCTCAGCACCCTCACCAGCATTTGTAATTCTCTGTTTTCTTTTAAACTTTGCTACCAATGCTGGCGTGAGGTTTTGATTTGCATCTTTAGGATAGCTGGTGACCACAAGTATTTCTCTCTTTGTTGGCAACCTGGATGTCTTTGGTGAATTGTGTGTTCATGTCCTCTGCCCATTTTTTCCCCAAAACCATTTTATTGGGAGTTAATACAGATATCATATCACTCAATAGTTAGTCACATCAAGCAGTATTGTACAATTGTTACCACAATCAATTTCAAAATATTCTTTTCCTTCTTGAACTCCTTGACCTCTGTTCCCTTTTACTCAACCCCCCAGCACCCCTGTCCCCCACCCCACCCAAAACCTGATTCTATTTGCTGTCCCTATAGCTTCATCAATATTGGGTTTCATATACTGAAAAACATGAAAATATATAACAAAATTTCAAGATGGTGATCCCCAATGACATCTGAGATGAACCCAATTATGAATAAACAAAAAAATACAGAAAACGTTGAAACCAGATAAGACCTAGCATGCATCACAGGAGGGATCAACTGACAAGCTTTTAACCGTTCAAGTCAGGTTTATCCTTTTGATCTTCTATAGTCATCTCTCCAATATTTAATAACTAATTTCCTCCCATCCCTCTATTATGGTTAGAGGGAAATCACCAGAGACTTGTTTCCTATGTAGATCCCACAAAAGTATCTTGGAGTCCCACTGTCATCAATAGCCTTCTGCAATCTGGATTCATACAATTT